TGCTGAAATCGTGCAAGTTACTTGGAGCATTAATGGTGCTAAAATCCAGGACTCTTCTGGGAAAAGGTGCCCTTGAAGGATGGGATGATGCAGTGCTGTGTCTAAAATTCTTCCACGTGAGCTACCCCTCTGACGCAGCTCTGTCGTCAGCACTACGCATCAGCCATCGCCAAGCTTCAACCTGACACCAAGGGATAAATAAAAAAATGGAGCATCTAAAAGGAGGAGAGATCCCTGGGCACTAAGAAACAGAAACCCTTACTCCTTCCCAAAGTCTGTCCCATGCCGAAAATCCTGCAAAACCCCTTTGTCCATGGAAAGTGCCTTGGCAGGTTGTGCTGCTCCATGCTGCACCTACCGCTGCTCTCCCTGTAAAGCATGCAAGGCTGTTTCTGAATACGTGAACCTTTTTACACCTGCAGTAAACAGTGGAACAAACTTCCACCTTCAAAGCAAAGCAGAGCTTGTTCAGTGGAAAAATACAACCTTGGCAGCCCTGGCCATGCAACTGATAAAAAAAATTCCTGCCTGTTAATCACAATTCAAACAGAAATCCGCTCCCCGTCAGCTGGGGGAGGTTGTTTATATGTTTCTTGGAACAATAAAACTCATTACCTGGCAGCCGATCAGCTTTTATAACCTAAGCAGGCACCTGACAGAGGGGCGCGAAAGAGAGCTGCTTCAGCACAACGCCTGCTGCGGCAAAGCCAGCCGGCGACAGCAGGGCTCCCGTCCCAGCGAGGCACCGACACGCACTGCCAGCTCTGCGGACATGCGATGTCCTTTTCTAAGTCTTTTATCGTGATCCTTCTGCTGTTGCCCATAATCAGAGTCTCCTGGTGCCCAGAGCCCACAGGCTCCTGCAAACTCTCTGCGGACAGGATCGCACCCAGATCCCAAACTGCTCCTGCTCCAAACAAGGGGAGGACAAGGGGGCAAGAACAACAGCGTAAAGTAAGAGAGATCAGAGTGAGACCTGCAAATGCCACCTCGGTGCCACAGTTTTGGGGAGACGGATGAGCTCAGCTGGGGGATTCACTGTGGGTGTGTTAGGGAGGCATTTTCCCTTCTCGCCCCTCATTTATTCTCCCTGCTTTGCTGTTTTGTTTGGGATATCAAGGCACACCATTCGCCCTGGTTTACAGCTTGGAACTCCCGTCTGCCCCAGCTCCCACGAGAGCCATCTGTCCCCCCGTGCTAGCGGGACTCGGCCGAGACCCTGCCCCGTGTGTGCGATCCGAGACCCCAGGAAACGCAGCACGCAGCAGGCGTGTGTAGGGCTTCCAGCTTATATAAACCTGTACTTCTACAGTTGCATACATCCCCATGGAAACCATGAGGAGTTTCCCCTTGGTGAGGACAGCGGTAACATCACTTCCTGCTGCTGACAAACCAATTTGTCACGAAGTGATAAAAAGGCACGTTTTGTGTTTGCAGGAACTGGCTCCAGGCTTTGTTCCTCCCAAGCCAGAGGCTGCTCACCCGCCCCGAAGGCAAACAACGGCCATTGTGTGCTGCACGGAGCACAGATGGGGCGACGCGGACAAGCCCTTCGTGGCCCCAAAATGCCAGAGCATGGACCACCGACACCCCAAAGGTTACAAAGCATATCGAGAAAATGCATGTCATGGCAGTGTGTAAGCCAATGCAGTACGTGGGGCTCCATACAGCACTCACGGATGGGTCCCCACAGCCAAGGGGTGTACGTGGCCAACCCACGCTGGGACGCAGCACGTGAGCCACGCTAGTACCCCCAGCAAGATGCAATACCCAGGGGATACAGTATACCCAGTTATCACCTGACAAACAGACACAGAGCCCCAGATTAGACGGGTCTCGGGTAATCCCCTTGTCTCAAAGCTTTTGCCTTTTTTTTGTAATCAGCGCCTCGAAAGGCGCTGGGTGTACTCAAGCGTAGGGACTATCCTGCATTAGTCACCCCCGGTATCAGACCAGCAGGGCCACAAGGATGTGTTATGCCTTTACGTTGAAAAAAGAACATTACATCCAGATCATACACAGGCAAATCAAGTTTGCCTGGTTACCACCTGGGTTTTTTCCTCTCTCTGGCTCCAGGGCAGCAGAAAGGGCACTGAGAGTCATTTGGAAATGGTGTTTAAGTGCAGCCCTGGAGAGCCCACTCCCCGGCTGCGCAGAGAAGTCGCAGTGCAATGGGGAAGGAGAAAAGGTTGTGGTGTGGGACCGTCTAGTGTGGTTAGAAGTCACTATGCGTCAAACCTCATCTAAACCTGTTTCTTATCCTTCCCCTTGTCCAGCAACGATGTCCATGACAGGCACTTATACGCAGTGTAGCCAATGAGACCCCACCCAGGGCTTGGGCTTCCCCAAATGTGCTCCGATCCAAGGCTGTAGAGAGGTTGGGAAAACAGCTAAAACCCAGGCTCAAACCCACTCATGCTGAAAGAACAAATTAGCCCTGAGGTTTGCGCTGCGTGTGGCCTCTAAATGTTACTTACTACAGTGCAGAGCCAGTGGCCAGGGCTGATGTGGGGCTGGCAGCCCTGCCGAGAGACATGGCCAAGGCACCCGGCCAGGTGGGTCCTGCTAGCACCCATCAGGGGACAAAAGGTTAAGTGGGACCAAGCTATTACAGGAGGGAAAGCATCCCTGAAGGGGAGACGTGAGAGCTTGGGGACAAGCAGGACCTGCTGATTTAACGGGCATTGCTGTGAGGACTTGGCCAGCCGGCCCTGCTGGAACCTGGCTCGCTCAGGTCTTCGTGCTCTGCCTTTGCTCAGGCTGAGGGCAACCGCCAAGGGATGAACCCTGGTACCTGGGAGGAAGCAGCTGCGTTACTCTGCTGCTGGGGTGGGTAACGGATTCCTGGTTTTGAGAGCTATTCCCCATTTCAGAAGCGCAGTTGTACAAATCTGTGCCTGTCTGGGGAACAGTGCCAAGGTCCTACGTGGACCTGACGCTGTTAGTCTGGCACAGAGCAAGCTGGTTCCATCATTGTAAGACTAGTGGCCAAAGCCAGGGGAAAAGTCAGATTTGTTCTTTGTCCTTACATGGTGTGGGACAGCCTCTTCTCCAGGTGTGGGTTTGTTGTGATTTTTTTTTCCTCCCCCTGGGAGTTTCCATTTCCAGGGTTTTCCAGCTGCTGCGTGTGGCTGCTCACCCCTCCCGCAGTGCCAGGCTGTGCAGCACGACTGAGGGGCTGAGGGCTGGCGGAGGTCCCTGGGAGGCTGCTGGGCCGGGGGTTTCCTGCGCGGTGCTCTCAAGCTCTCGCATTTGCATGCGTTTCCTGCTAGACGCAGAAATGACTCGGTCTGGGCTTCCCCTCCT